CAGCTTTACCTGGGCTCCTTGACGTTTTCTCCGCTCGCGCAGCTCGGGCAGCTTCGGGCTCCGCGTGGCGGTTGTCGAGCCCTCAGCTAAGACTTTAGGGTTTGGGTTTTAGGGTTTACTGGGATTATGATATGAGCTACAGCCAGTATTTGCCAGTGTTAAGGGTCCCTTGGTAGGGCTAATTCTAGGGTTTAGGCTTTTTGTATGGGACCTTTTCTCCAAGGCTCCTAGGGTTTAGTGAGTAGGGTTTAGGGTTCAGGGTTTAGAGAGGGTTTGGGGTTTGGATAAAGAAGAGGTGTAACTGCAGAAAAGGTCAATGCCCGCCTTCTGTCCACCACCTTCACCTTCGCGCCCTTCGGCGCCTCCACGACGTGGCATGGGGTCTTAGGGTTTAGGGTTTAGGGTGACTCCCTACAGAAAACAGCCCAAAACATTAGAAATCAACAGGAATTATAATTGAAAATGAAATGGAAACTGAGGTTTACATAGCAGTTATCTAGACCTACCAAAACCATCCAAAAACCATAGAACCCTAAACCTTAAACCCTAAAACCCTAAGCCATAGAACCCTACAACAACCCAATAGCTGCCTTCTTCTTGTCCAACTTATGCCCTCCGCCGCCCTTCTTGATGGCCACCGTGGTGACCTTTCGCTGGTCCTGCTTGGCCTCAGAAAAAAACGAGAAGCCTATATATACCTATGCACATATACGTATATATAGCTGTATTTATATATATATATATGAAGAGTTTTGCATCAGGGAGATTGCCCGAATGGTGGATATGTAGAAAATGTATCCATTATTGGGGTCATGTCGCTAGTATAAAATGCCAATAAATAAACCAATATAATCGAGTAGATTCAGTTTTGCTTTCTGCTACCCTAATATAGCCTATGTCCATCCCCACATGTCCCTAAACCCTAAACCCTAAACCCCAAACCCATTCCCTAAACCCTAATCCCTGAACCCTAAACCCTAAAAGCTAATCCCTAAACCCTAAACCCTAATCCCTAAACCCTAATCCCTAATCCCTAAACCCCAAACCCTAAACTCCCAAATCCTTTGAAAGCTCCTTCTTGGGCCGCTGCAAGCTTGTTCACGGCCTTCCGCATCTGCCGCGCCTGTGACCAAAACTGGGTTGCTGTTAAGGAACTTAAATTAAGTTACTATATTGGGGAAACCCATAATGGGGTTTAGGGTTTAGGGTTACTTTTTTGGGGAAACCCTATAAATTACTATATATATATACCCATTATGGTAACTTTATTTAAGTTCCTTAAAAGCAACCCAGAAAAGGCAATTGTCAGGCCCAGCCAAAGGGACTTGAACGAGAACCCCCAAACAGGGAACCCCAAGAATATTGAAGGACTATGATGAGGATATACCTACCAGGGCCCTTATGCTCCTATTCTATTCCTACTCTTTTTTTGGGGGGCTTCCTCCTGTAAGGCTCCCATTTTACTATTCTTTAGGTGCTTCGGGGCAGGGATGGCCTTAGCCGTCTCGCTCATGTCCGTCGTCTCGGACAGAGCCCTTCAGTCAGGCTGAAGTCTCTCCGAGGCCGGTGCGGCGGACAGTTGAGCCATAGTCATAGTCTAACCCTTAATAAGGGAGAATCAAATGGAAAAGAAAATGGAAAATGAAATGGAAACTGCTATATATAGGGTTATGTAGGGGATTATAGGGGGTATAGTCTAAACTCTTAGTATTCCGCATAATAACCCCTATCTTCCTTCTACAATCAATTTTGCTCAGGTTGGCTGAGGCCCCTGCACGGCGGTGGTCCGCAGCCTTAGACCGCAAGATTCTTGCTATAAGCTGCCTTGTTCACATTAAAATATATAGTAGTTTCCATGTTCTTTTCCATCATCCCTATATAACCCCTATATAACCCTTTATAAAACCCTATATAATGTAGTAGTTTCCATTTTCTTTTTCATCATTACCATATAACCCCCTACACAAAAGTCGTTCTGTGTCCCTAAAGCCTAAACCCTTAACCCTAAACCCTGAAATCCAAGAAACTTCTCCAGCTTCTTCGCAAGGCGTCGCTTCTTCCGGGCACGTGCCTTCGCTTGCAGCGAGCAAGCGCAGGCTCCAAGCAACCGTGCAGTAAATTATAGTGTATTACTGGGTTGCTGTTAAGGAACTTAAATTAAGTTACTATATTGTTGAAACCCTATTATTTACTATATATACCCATTATGGTAACTTAATTTAAGTTCCTTAACAGCAACCCAGTAAACCCTAAACCCCACACCTTTAAACCCTAAACCCCAGACCATAAACCATAAACCCTAAACCCTAAACCCCTAAACCATTTAAGTTCCTTAACAGCAACCCAGATTATGGTATGTTATGGTATATTGTAGTATAGTATCATATACTGAAGTATATTATGGTATATTATAGTATATTGTAATGACTCAGTGACTTAGTGGCCTGCCTCCGCAACCTTTCGGATGGGCCTCGCAGCAGATGGCCGATGAAAGTGGCATGGAGAAGTTTCCCTAAATTACTCTTCCCAAAATGGGGGAAATTGATATAGGGCTCCGTATTATAATAGGAACCTAAATATAGGACCCCGTATTGACAGTAATTCAGGACAATCCCCATGGAGAGAACGAATCTTTGAGGCAGCAGCCGCGCGTTGATCTCGCGCAGCTTGGCACGGAACCTGGGCGCTTCTCCAGCTGCCTCCATATATCTGCCAAAATATACGAAAATATACTGCAATATACTATAATATACTGTAGTACACTAGAATATACTATAATGTAGTACAATATACTGTATTATTCTATAACAATAGACTACAAAATATTAGAATGTAACCTAATATACTATAATAAACTATAAACAAAAAGGTCCACGTAGGGCTCCGACTGGGCCATGGCCTCCTTAGAGATGGGAAGCTCCGGCCTTAAAGCAGCACAGATCACGGTGATAACCATAGGGGATGAGGGATTAGGGCTTAGGGATTGGGGTTTAGGGATTATAAGTTTAGGGATTAGGGTTTTAGGCTTTGGGGATTAGGGTTTAGACGCTCCACAGCTGAATGTGGCAGGGGACAGCTGGCAGGAATTGGGCAACTGTTAAGGAACTTAAATTAAGTCACCATAATGGGTATATATAGTAAATAATAGGGTTTCAACAATATAGTAACTTAATTTAAGTTCCTTAACAGCAACCCAGGAATTGGGCAACTGGCTTGTTGTACTTGTCCTCCTCCTCCGTGAACCAGACTGGCAGTGCTTCGTTGGGGTCGAAGGTCCATCCTCAGGGTCCCACAAGTCCCAGCTGTACTTCTTCGAGTCCCCGGAAGAGCCAGTGTCTAAACTCCTAATATTCCTATAATACTCCGCTATATGGTCGTTTGACAAAATAAGGGGAACCCAATATGGACCCCAATATACGATAGTCCTTATTATGGGGACCCCCAAAATGGTACCCCTAATTTTGGGAAACCCTAAACTCCATATAATCCCCTATATAATCCCAGTTTCCATGTCATTTTCCATTTTCTTTTCCATTTGATTCTCCATTATAGTAGGTACCTCTAATTTTGGGAAACCCCCATATATAGATATATGGACTTAACAACCCCTATTGTAGTCCCCCATATAATCCTGTATATAACCCCCAAACCCTAAAGGAGTTTAGACTCCAGCTCATAAGGTCCAGGCGATTAAACGCTGCGTCGAGCAACTCCATCCTAGCGCTTTCCCAAGGTCAATGCATCATCATGAGACCCTAAAGCTAGGGTTTTGGGAGTTAGGGTTTAGGGTTTAGGGTTTAGGGTTGGGACCCCCCACCCAGTAATAGTGACTATAAGGGATAATAGGGATTATATTAGGGTCCTCTTATATTCCTATAATACCACTATTACAGGGTGGGGGGTCCTCCTAAATGAGACCCTAAAGCCTGAACACTAACTGGGTTGCTCTCAAAATTGCACGCCCCTTGGGGTTCTAGATCACCTAATATTTACGGGTACCACAATGGGACCCTAATTTTGGGAACTACCCAAATCCTCTAACCCCTGAACCCTAAACCCTAAAACCTAAACCCTTAACCCTTAAACCCCCAACCCTAAACCCTTAAACCCTCAACCCTCAACACTAAACCCTTAACCCTAAAACCTAAGCCCTTAACCCTAAAACCCTAAACCCTAAACCCTAAATCCTTAAACCCCTTAACCCTTTTGCTCTGCCTGGACTTCTTGGACTCCACAAGCAGGGAGCCCAGCGCCAAGGTCTCGGCCTTCACTTACCGGGTTCCTAGTAGGAAATAAGGGAATATATTGGGGCTATATAGGGATAATGCAAAAGAAAATGGAAGCTACTATAGGTTTAGGGTTTAGGGTATATATAGGGATAATGGAAAAGAAAATGGAAACTATTATCATATACTGGGGTGTATATTGGGTGTATAGTAGGGAATGAAGGAATACAGCGGTATAGGCATTATATAGGGGTTATATTCCCTTATTCCCCGCCTAAGAACCCATATGTTCAGAAAGTGTATTGCTCTGTAAACCCTAAACCCTGAACCGAACCCTAAACCCCTAAACCCTAAACCCTAAGCCCTAAAACCCTAAACCCTAAACCCCTAAACCCTAAACCCCTAAACCCTAAACCCCAAGCCCTCTTCCTCTTCTTCTGCCATTCCTGGGCTCACGACCAGCTCCCGGAGGTCCGAAGGCTTGGAAAAATTGGAGGCCACGATCCTCACTCTGCCGGCTTCGCGACTTTCCCATGATATAGTCCCCCTTAAGTAGATAGAATGTGGCCCTGGGTAGATTACAATAAGATCCCCATACACCCCATATTCTATCTACCTAAGGGGGACTATACTGGGTTGCTGTTAAGGAACTTAAATTCAGTTACTATATTGGGAAAACCCTATTATTTACTATATATACCCATTGTGGTAACTTAATTTAAGTTCCTTAACAGCAACCCAGTATAAGGCCATGCTGGGGCATAGCAGCACAGCCGTGCAGCTGAGGCCAAGGGCGACTTGGGCGGCTCCAAGGGAGCGACCTATGCGAGCTACAAGAGGCTTCCTGCGGAGCTCTGCTAACATCCCTTACTATAGCAGTTTCCATGTTCTTTTCCATTATTCCCTATTATAATATAGCAGTTTCCATGTTCTTGTCCATTGTTTTTATATAACTCATACATAACCCCTATATTCCCTATTATAATACAGTAGTTTCCATTCTCTGTTCCATTATCCCTAAATATACCCCTATATAACCGATATATCATGCAACCCTAAACTCTGAACCCTAAACCCTGAACCCTAAACCCTGAACCAAAAACCCTAAACCCTGAACCCGAAACCCTAAACCCTAAACCATTTAACCCCTATATCATGTATATTATAGATCCAACCTCCAGACTGCCTTTCTCCTCCTCCGCCTGGCAAAGGCAGGACATCTTCCAGGCTGACAGAATAAGGGAATATATTGGGGTTGTTTAAGGATAATGGAAAAGAAAATGGAAACTACTATACGGGTGATTGTCAAAGTTATGGTCCCTTTTTGGGTACCCTAAATATTCGGTGCCGTATTGTACTAGGGATCCAAAAGGGGACCATAATTTTGACAATCCCCCATATTGGGGTTGTATAGGGATAATGGAAAAGAAAATGGAAACTATTATATACAGTAGTATATTAGAGCTCTATGGGGATAGTAGAAAAGAACATGGAAACTACTACATTATAACTGGGTATATATGAGATAAGCCCTATAGTAGTCCTCCTATATAATCCCCTATATAACCCCCTTTAAGGAGTTTAGACCCTAAACCCTAAATCCTAAATCCTAAACCCTAAACCCTAAACCCCAAACCCTAAACCCTGAATCCCCTTTTTACCCCCTTTAAGGAGTTTAGACTACAGCTCCTTTTGGATTTCCAATGCACGGCGGCGTCCTTCGAGGCTTTCGGCTTGATCCCAAGCCTCAGGCTTCAGAGTTCCCCTGGGGATAATCGAAAACCCTGAAGTTTAGGGATTGGATGGGGATTTTATAGGGATATTTCGGGTTTAGGGTTTAGGGTTTAGGGTGTGGTATATTTCCTAACAGATTGGATGAGGATTTTATAGGGATACTTAGGGTTAACCCCTATATAATCCCCTATAATCCCTGTGGTTTCCATTTTATTCTCCATTAATCCCTATATAGCCCCAATATATACCCTATAATACTAGGGTTCAGGGCCGAAACCCTAAGCCCCTTAAACCTTGCTGAATTGTTTGTCCAAGTGGCTTCTCCAGACGCTCGGCATCTTTTCTCCGTTTGATTTTCCTCTTCTCCTTGCGGCAGAAGTGCAGCCAGTAACACAATTCAGGGCTGTTTAAGAGCAGCAGCCACCGCGGTTGTAGGTAGTGTAGGTCCTCTGGTGTAGGAGTGTAGGAGGACGAAGGGAAGAGGCGCGATGAAGGTGGTTGTGGTGGAAGGAAATTATAATCAAATCAACTGCCACATATGGGTAGTTCCCCACATGCGGGTCCCATCTTGGTACCCCTAAATATAAGGTGGCGTAATATAACCTGTAACCAAAAGGGGCCCATAATGTTAAGAACAACCCATATCGATGGTGTCACATTCCTTTCCCTTGAGATGAAAATGGTGCTGCTCCACACTGGAAGGGTTGCTGGTAAGAAGCTGTACTGAAGCCACAAACATACGGAAACCATAGTGTTTTGCTACATATCCATATTTTTGCACTTTCTAGCTCACCGCTATACCCCTTTAAGTATGACAACTTCATCTACATTCCTGAACAGGCAACTAAACCCTAAACCCCTTAACCCTTAAACTAAACCCTTTACCCCTAAACCTCTTCCCAAAACCCTAAACCCCTAAAGCCCTAAACCCGTAAGCCCCAAAACCCTAAACCCCAAAACCCTAAACCCCTAAACCCTAAACCCCTAACCCAAATCCTAACTAGTAGCTTCCATGTTCTTTTCCATTATCCCCATGTAACCCCAATATTACCTTAAATCCTAAACCCTAAACCCTAAACCCCAAACCCAAATCCTGCAGATCTCTCGCTCCTTCTTCTTTTCCATTATCCCAAAATAACCCCAATATGGTAGTTTCTCAAAATCAGGGGACCCCAATACAGACCCCAAAATACTATAATCCTTATTGTGGGGACCCCCAAAAAGGTACCCCAAATCCTGACAAACCCCTAAACCCTGAACCCTAAATCCTCCCTAAACCCTAAACCCTAAACCCTAATACCCTAAGCCCTAATAGCCCTATATTACCCTAAATCCTGTAGAACTCTCGCTCCTTGTCAGTGAGCGGCAGCTTCGGGAGTTGGGCCTCAGCTCTGCGGGCGCCACCTTTTAGGTCCCTCTTGAGGGGTTATTAGGGTTTAGGGGATTTGGCTTTAGGGTTATAGGGTTATAGGGTTTAGGGTTTTAGGGTTTTAGGGCTTTAGGGTTTTAGGGTTTAGGGTTTAGGGTGGTTATAGGGGTATATTGAAATAAGGGAAAGGAAAATGGAAACTACTGCAGTGTTTAGAATGTAGGAATGGAAAGGGATCGTTTGGGAGGCTTGTGTAGTTTAGGGTTTTTTTTGCTTCGCTTTGGTAGTTTAGAGTTTAGTGCTTAGGGTTTAGGCTGCTAGGGGGATCCATTCCTCCCTTCCCGGATTCACAACCATCAAGTACTGCGGCAAGGGGCTCCGTGATTCTGACTCCCGTTCTGCGTTCGCCGTATTTTACATCACTGCATTGCTGGTTGTGATCGTTGCCATCCAATTTTATGCCTTCGATATTTAATCCGCAACACTAATGGAATCTTGGTAACCGCCAGCCCCTCCCAATTAGGACCCTATGATCGTCGAATGATAAGTACAGGATCCATATTTTGGGAGTTGGAGTTACCAAACTCCTATCACTACCAAGCCAAACCCTAAACCCTACACCCTAAACCTTGACTCTCTTGCTGGGATGCCGGCATCGCTGAGCTCCCGCATCTGCATGTCAGGGGCAGTAGTCCCCTCCATCTAAAGATTACAACCCACCACTCCCCTGATATCAAATTTTGCAGATATTGTTAAGCATACCGCAATGGGAATGCCTAATGCTAGGAAATATACCACAGTGGGAATATCCAATATTCCTAAACCCTAAACCCTAAAACCCTAAACCCTAAACCACAGTAGGAATACCGAATATTGGGAGAGCTTCGGATCTTGAGGGGAGGGGATCAGGTGGCCAGGGGTCCACTGGATGATATCGCCCAAGCGAGTCGCACACAAGCTATATGAGCTATAGTCTAAACTCCTTAACGGGGGTTATATGGGGGATTATATATGGGATTACTATAGGGGTTATTAAGGGGGATACTAGGAGTTTAGACTATGGCTCATATAACCCTAGCTTCCATTTCACGTTCCTTTTGATTTTCCAGTGTGGGCCTAGTATTTTTGTTTAATATAAACCCGAAACCCCTAAATCCTAAACCCTAAACCCTATAAACCCTAAACCCCTAAACCCTAAACCCCTGAACCCTAAAACCCTAAACCATATAAGCTCTAAACCCTAAACCCTATAAACCCTAAACCCCTGAAACCCTGAAACCCCAAAACCCAAATCCTAAGTAGTAGCTTCCATTTTCTTTTCCATTATCCCCATATAACCCCAATATTACCCTAAATCCTAAACCCTAAACCCCAAACCCAAATGGCATAGGCCAGCCTGTCCTCCCTCGGAGTCCGAGTCGCCCTGATCATCGCTGACAGGAAACTCGTAGCGCTTTGGAGTCTTACACGGGTTTAGGGTGTAGGGTTTGGGGTGTAGGGTTTAGGGTTTAGGGTTTGGGGTGTAGGGGTTGGGGTGTAGGGTTTGGGGTTTAGGGTGTAGGGTTGCAGGTGTAGGGTGTGGGGTTTAGGGTGTAGGGTTTAGGGCTTGGGGTTTGTAGGGTTTAAGGTGTAGCGTTTGGGGTTTAAGGTGTAGAGTTTGGGGTTTAGGGTGTAGGGCTTAGGGTGTAGGGTTTAGGGTTTGGGGTTTAGGGTTTGTGGATTTAGGGGTTGAGGGTTTAGGGTTTAGGGGGTTTAGGGTTTGGGGTTTAGGGTGTAGAGTTTGGGGTTTGGGGTTTAGGGTGTAGGGTTTGGGGTTTAGCGTGTAGGGTTTAAGGTTTAGGCAGGGGTGTACAGGGACCTACAAGGGTTTGCAGGATTTAGAGAGGTTCAGCGTTTTGAGGCAGACATTGAGTTCAGAATTTGTTGGGAGCATCTGTCATATGGGAAACAAAGAGATCTTGGGATCTGTCATGTTTGGGGGGAGGGATAAATTGACATCACATCCTGGAACATGTTACGATTCTCTGGGCCATGCTCCAAAGTCAGGGGCCCTCTCGGGTCATCGGATCATGTTAAGGAATACTGTGGTGGCTATACAAGTTATACACCACACTGAGGATGATAGTGACTATGCAGGTTCTAAATACTTACTTAGGGGTTAGCAGGGAATAAGTGAATACATTATATAGGGACTATATGGGGATTATGTTACCTCCTTCCCTACTAACCCCAATAAGATAAGGAAAATCAAGGTTGCTGGAATTATGAAGAGAACTGGGCGCAGACATCACACGCCTCGGAGTCCGCTTCCCGCACAGCACCTGCAGAGACACGCATGGCTGCGCGACGCACTGAGGTTCCTAGGGTTTAGGGTTTAGGGTCTAGGGTTTAGGGTGCGCGATGCATTGAGGTACGGTCGTTGCTATCAATTTGCCCCTTTATCCGTCACTATTACTTTTCAATGAAAAGTTACAGTAGCGTAGCAAAGGACTATGAAAAGTTTTCGTAGTCCTTTGCTACGCTACTGTTGCTGGATGTCATTAGCTGAATCATTAGCTTTATTCATGGAATTCATGTCCTTGTTGTTATGATCGTTACTGCCTCACTGCTGCAGTGACGAGGACCACCGAATCCTCCATACTGTCAGTACGACAGTTACTGCTCCACATGATCTTCTAGGCAAACCGTTCTAAATCTCCCGATCCTTCCTCTTCTTCATACTTCAGGGTTCATGAACAGGGGTTGGAAAGGTTATAACCCTAAACCCTTAAACCCCCAACCCCTAAACCCTAAACCCCTAAACCCTAAACCCCTAAACCCTTAAGCCCTAAACCCCTAAACCCTTAAACCCTGAACCGCATTTTATAAAAATCAATGAATACCCGGCGGGGCCTCGCGTCTGGGAGCTTGTGCTGAGGCCAGAGAAGATGTCCTGGCCTCGGCAGTCTAGGGCTGAGGGTTTAGGGTTCAGGGGCTTAGGGGTTTAGGGGTTTAGGGTTTAGGGTTTAGGGGTCTGAGGGTTTTGGGGTTTGAGTGTTTAGGGGTTTAGGGGTTTGGGGTTTAGGCGTCTGAATCATGTCCAGGCTGTCAGGACTCATCTTGTTCCGGAGATGTATGGGGGTTTCCCAAAATCAGGAGTACCCTTTAGGGCTCCTCAGATTAAGGAGTCGAATATTTGGGCGTCTACAGTTAATTCCCCGAATTTGGGGAAAAGTACCATTTTACGGAATTGAAGGGAAATCCAAGCACAGCATTGCCAGGATCAGTACCTCTCTCAACCCCCGACATCTCTGCTTCTACAAAAATTAATCACTCGCGCTCAGGATAGTAATGCCTGCCAAGCGGTGGTCTTGTAAACCCTAAATCCTAAACCCTAATTCCTAAACCCTAAAGCCTAAACCCTAAACCTCTAAATTCTAGAACCCCTGAAATTGGGCTGTGTAGTTGCATAGAAACCTTGCCATGAACTGTAGTAAACTGATGGGCATCCGAATGCTGAGCAGCACCCAGAATGTCTTCCAGGCATTACAAGGAACAGAACAATGACGTAATGTTCTTCCAGTACCCCTAATTTTGAGAAACCCTAATCCCTATAATCCCGTACATAAACCCAGTGTCCATTTCATTTTCCATGTTCTTTTCCATTTGATTCTCCATTATAGTCAGAACATAGTGATAGGGATGATAACGAGGGCAATTCTATATTAGGGTCATATTGGGTTACTACTAAGGTTATATGGGGGTATCTGGGGGCTATATGGGGATAATGGAAAATCAAATGGAAACTACTATTTAGGGTTTACAGAATATGCTGAGTAATTTCCAGCATTGCGGCACCAAACCCAACCCTGCAGCCCATGAAGATCTATCTAACTGTGCTCTGTCCTTAAGGGCCCCCTAAAACATCTGCAAGGATGTCATGAAGGTCTCCGTATGCTTCCTTCCCCTAAACCCTAAACCCTAAACCCTAAACCCCCTTGATACAAGGCTGGGAGCTTTAGGCCTTACAAATGGAGCCTTAAAGCCTAAGCCAAGGTCAGTGGGCTGACTGTTTGTTCATAGGGAATAAGGGGAGAATATATATATATATACATATATATATATATGGGGAATATATAGGGAGTAGATGGGGATTAGATAGGGATTATGTTGGGATTCTACTTCCATATTTCCCTACTAACAACCAGTTAGCAGGCCTAAGAACCCTAAACCCTAAACCCTAAACCCTTTGGTCAACCCTATGCCGACAGTCTCTCCCAGACCACGGCTGAACCATCGGAATGCCCGATGTTCGCCCCGAACAGCCTCCTCGTCCATGGGAACCTCAAGGCGAATGGAAAAGAAAATGGAAACTACTATAGACTATAGTATGTTGGGGTTATATAGGGATAATGGAAAAGAAAATGGAAACTACTATAGTATAATAGGGTATATATGGCACAGGGAAAGTGTTAGTTTTGTTTTGTCGGACCTCTTCTCCACGAAGTTTTGGGGTTAGGGTTTAGCATTTAGGGTTTAGGGCTTAGGGAAAACTCTAGAAGCTTGCTGGTTGTTAGTAGGGAGTATGGGAATCCCTACTATCCACCAGTAAGGTAGGTGCGCCTGGGGTAGACTTGAGATCACTTTGGGGGTAGACTGGGCTCTTCTTGGGGCTGAAGCTGTAAGCCACCCCTCTTCAACACTTGACACGGACTCAATAACAGCAACTGCGAGTAAGCACGAAAGAAAATTGAGTGGTTGTCAAGATTATGGTGCCTTTTTGGGTACCCTAAATATTAGGTGCCGTGTTATAAGAGGGATCCAAAAAGGGACCATAATTTTGACAACCACCCAAATCAGGGTTCCCGGCCAGTGCCGTCTCATCCGCCTTGTCCTGCAGCGCTGGAAGCCGCTCCGCCAGTTCCTCGTCCTCATCCTGGTCCCGAGAAGAAGGATTGTATTATCAGGGGTTTTACAGGACTATATAAGGTTTAGGGTCTAGGGTTTCCCAAAATTCTGGGTATCCAGGACTATATAAGGTTTAGGGTTTAGGATTCAGGGTTTCTCAAAATCATGGTTACCTTTCTGATTATTGCAGGCGGCCTGTTGTTGGTTTTTCAATGGTCGGCTAGAAAAAGACTTGGAGAATTCCAGCAGGATGCTTTCAGGCTCATCCACACGGTTTAGGGTTTCGGGTTTAGGGACCTGTTGCAGAACATAATGTTCAGGGTTTAGGGGCCCCATGTTATTGGATTATCTAGGGTTATATGGGGATGATATTGGGGTCATATTGCGATAATGGAAAATAAAATGGAAAGTATTGTGATATACTCGGTATATTCTAGGAATAATGATAGTAATGATAATGAAGGAACAGGTATATTGGGATAATGAAAAATAAAATGGAAACGACTATTTAGATGCGTCTTGGAAACCTGTATTCAGTACTCCTAGCAAAGTCGCCTACAGCCGCCCAAAGTTATCTGGGTTGCTGTTGAGGAACTTGAATTAAGTTGCCATAATGGGTATATATAGTAAATAATAGGGTTTCCCCAACATAGTAACTTAACTTTAGTTCCTTGACAGCAACCCAGTCATGCACCTCGTCCCCCCTGGCCGTCCTCCACCTGCCGCTTCCGCTTCCGCGAGGATACCGAACCTGGATGACACCGGGGAGCCATGGTAGAGTGGAGGCTACATTGAAATTGACAGGGCCTTGGAACTACAGAGATGTTCATGGGGGATAGCCTGGTCAGGAATGGGATTCTAGTATAGCACATTCACATAAAAACTTCATCGCATAAATCTCTCAACAGTAACAAGGGGACTCTAAGATTGTGAGAGGGGAGTCGGGGGACTCTCAAAATTGGCGGCGTCCTTATCTGCCTGGGTATTGCCTAGCCAGCTTCTTCCACCGCAATCCATGCCCTCCTCTCAAGAATATGTGTAGACGCACTCTTCAGCCAGCCACCGGGTCACCAAAATCTGTGCTGTCCAAGCTCAAGGTCCCTTACTCTAAGACTACTCTCCAAGCAACAGGCTCCATACCCAAAGCACCCTAAACCCTAAACCCTAAACCCTAGCCATGCCTCCCTCCACTTCTGCTTCTTCAGCTAGCTTCTCATCTGGTCCATCAGGGCCTGTCAGATCAGGGTCATGGGTTTAGGGTTTAGGGTTTAGGGTTTGGGGTTTGGGGCCCCTGCCCTACCAATCACTTCAGAATGCCTTAACCTCCCCCCAACTGACATGGCACCTGAAAAGGCTCCCTACACAGACTGCTTTGCTACTACCCTTTTGGTCTGGGGGAGGTAATAATTTTGATAATGATAATAATAAGCGAACTAACTATACTAGTAATAATAATACTAATAATAATCATGGGAATAATGATAACCCTAAACCCAAACCCTAAAACCTGAACCCTAAACCCTTTTTGTCTTCGGGTAGTTCAGGTTTGAAGGAAAGAACTCGCCTTCTGCCAAAGCAGCCAGAGCTTCTGCATCCAGGCCTCAGCAGTAAGGCGCATCTTCCAGATATGGTTTGGAATTTAGGGTTTAGGGGTTAGGGGTTTAGGGGTTTAGGGGATTAGGGGTTTAGGGGTTGAGGGTTTAGGGGTTAAGGAGTTAGTCCCTAAACGCTAAACCCTAAACCCCAAACCCTAAACCGCGTAGGGGTTTAGGGTTTAGGGGTTTAGGCTATAGGGTGAACAACGTCCCTTCTGCACTATCTCCTACATAATCCTTGGACCCTCCTGGTAAACCCCAAGCCCCAAAACCCTCGGTTTAGGGTTTAGGGTTTAGAGTTTAGGGTTTAGGATTAGACAGAGATTACGCAGTCCCCCTTGAGGATTGTCAATCCAGTTCTATTGAAGAACTCCCTGTATAAAGTCCCTCGCCAATCCATCGCTCTATGTATAAGCCACATGTAAACCCCAGCTTCTAATTCATTTTCATGTTCTTTTCCACTACTGGGGTAAGATCCCTATCTCCCCTATGTAACCCCTAAACTCTAAATCCTAAACCCTGAACCCTCAAACATGAACCCCAACCCCTACATACTCCCTGATAGTCTAGGCAATATCCCTATATCCCCTCTATACCTTAGGTGGCTGCCTCACCCTGCAATCGTGACGAGAAGGGACTAATAGTGATCATATTACGGTCCTTGTATATTCTTATTATACCACTATTACAGAGTAGGGGGTCTTCCTAAGCCCTAAACCCCAAACCTTCACCCCTAAACCCTAAACCCTGAACCCTATAAACCCCTATATAACCCTATAAACGCTTCTGCCACCCTACGTAACCCTATATGAACTATAGTCCAAACTCCTAGTATCCCCCTTAATAACCCCTATAGTAGTCCCCTACATAATCCCCCGTATAACCCCCCTTTAAGGAGTTTAGACTAAAGCTCATATGAAGAACAATTCCTGGAGGCTTGCTGCCTGCCGACGCCTTTCTTGGATTCCAGGATCCGAACCTCACGAAAGGGCCTTCAAACAAAGGTGTCCTCCAAGTAGTCAAGCTGGAATCATGTTGACAAACTCCTACATGGGACCCTGAAAGGCCAGAAGCCTAGTAGACACTGCTTTGAGTGACCCGCAATCAAATCGAAAGGACATGGTGTTTTCTTCGAGGTGTTCGTAGTACATATGTATACACACAGGTGCCATAATTGAATACCATCGAACGGACCCAATGAAGTATGCGGCCTGCTCGCCTACATTGAACACGGCAAGTTGCCTTGAGTATCTTCTTGGCCATGTCCTGAGCAATTTCTGGGCTCCCTTGAGTTGCTCCATGCGGAGAACTTGGTAGGCAAACGGGGACGACTAAGGGTACAAGTCATAAGTGAAGCTTGTGGAAGCTGCGGGGCCTGCGTCTACAGCGGGGAGGCCGGACAAGGGGTGGTTGCCAGAAGCCGTTCCTGAATTCTGATGTAAAACAGCACAAGCACAAAGCTGACCACGCATGTTTTCTCCGTGCCCACAGAGCTTGCACTGCAGGAAGGAGGCTACATTCACTGTCATTCAGTGGGAGAGAGGCAACAGCTTCGCAGACCTGAATCGCTTCTGAGCAGCAGGAATGTCTGATTAAGCAGAAGCTAGCTGGTGGCATGGCCCGTGGCTCAAAGCATCCCACAAGCATCCGGAGTCCCTGTGTGAGACTCGCAGAACCCGAAATGATGTCAGAAGTCTGAAGCGTACTGTAAGGTCTCAACGTATCCCTGAATCCATCACCATTTCCTCAAGATGCACACTCAAGGCATCCCCACGACTGAAAACCCGAGAGGCTAAACCCCCAAACCTACCACACACTCAGCTGCTGGCCTTGCAAGGATGCCTTGGATGACAAAGGCCAGCTGCAGGATCCTTGTTCATAGGGCGATGATGGAGGGAAGGGTGATGGGGAAATTGCGTAGGTGGTACCTCCACTAGGCCTCCCAACATCCGGAAGACTTGGCTTCAAATCCTCAAGCGGCTGTAGAGGATGTCGTGCGACGTATCTCAGAGGCTGCACGGGGGATGACAAGCTCCGTGTGAGTCATGGAGAACAACTCTGAACCCTACAAAGCCTTTCAAATACGCACAGATCAGGCTAGAGACCGCACCCTTCCCTGCACCACTCACTCCTCACGGTTCGGTTGCATCCGTGCAACAACCAGAAAATGTCTCCTGCTCTGAGAAGTAAACTCAGTCTGAAATTTTCATTTTCATTCTGACATAGCTGAGCTGCAAGCCGTCAGACAGCGAATGTTGTTACAATGCAAATTTGCCGGAACAAGACAGGTATGAGGACAATGAGCGGTCAACACTGACACACCCACAATTAAGGCATTACATACCCGACCACAAGAAACACAATAATCTTCACGTCACTTTGTTCAGCTTTTGCAAGTAAGGGCCCCGCATGTACCCAACAACAATTATGTGGGAACCCCTTTGGCCGCTTAGTAAATACAATGCCAACATGACCCATGGATGTTATGCATGGTCTGCTGAAATGGAGCAACCAATATATACTCTCACCAATAATCCGAAGGAACCCTCCTACACTCACCAACAACCTAACAAAGTCCCGACCTTACACGGGCCCTTGGGCAACTGGGTTGGCACCAGGAGTCGGTTTCCTCGGCACTTTGGTAGAGGGGCGGCGCAGCGGGGACCCTGACAGACAACAGTTATAGCTGGGGTTTAGGGGTTTAGGGTTTGGGTCCGTCTGGGCATGCAGACCTTGGACCTTGGGAGTCGCGGCTGAGGTGAGAGTTCCTCAAAGGAAGGCCAATATGCAAATCCTTGTGGTTTAAGAAAATGATTCAGGTACCAATTACGTACATGTCTTGCGATGTGCGAGCAGCTCCAGGATGTGTTGAGGACCCCACCGTCCCGCCTCAACTGCTACTCAGGCTGGAAGCACTTGCGGATGTGGGTCAGGGCTTTAGACTTTTAAGACCTCCCATCCACGACGTTCGAAACGTTACACCCCTATGCTAGGGCCTTGGCCTAGCCCGTCATCAGCAGTAGTAGTAGTAGTAGCAGCAGCAGCAGTAGCAGCAGTAACACTAAGAGCAGGAGCCACAGCAAATTTCTTAGTAGCAACTCTGAGAGACAACGTAAACACGATAGTACTGGGACTAAGAAAAGAACTCGTAATCGACCTTAGAGACCATAAACACCAACGTAAACATAACAGCGATTGGAGTAGTTATGTAATAGTATCAGAAGTTCGCGGGTTGTACCCCGACGGTCAGACCCATAAAAGGTTTCCCCAAGATCGCACATTTATGTATGGGCCAATGTAGTCCCCTAAGGTCGCGTAAGAGGATCCCAAAACCCAGGGGGTACAAGCCGGAAACCCTGGATAGTAATCGTAATAGACCCTAATTATATAGTCACCCCTAAGTAGATAGAATATGGCTTCGGGTATATTATAATAAGATCCCCCTATACACCATATTCTATCTACTCAAGGGGGACTATACCCTAAACCCTACACCCTAAATAGTAGTTTCCATTTTCTTTTCCATTATCCCCATATAACCCCAATAAATACTCTATAGTTCCTATATCACCCCTGTAGAATCCCTATAATCCCTAAACCCTAAACCCTATAATCCCTAGGCACCTCACCGTCAGCTCCCCTGTGGGAAGCACTGCCAGGCCCACAGGCGCCTGGCCGTTCCTTGACGCTTTGTCGTGGAGTTTGATGAAGCCATCTACAGGTGAGTAGTGTTTTCTTGGTGGTTGAACCTAGTAAGATAATATTCCTTACATAAAATACTATACCCCCAAAAGAGGATAGAATCTTACTCTATAATGGGTACCATAGTATCCCCAAATAAAATACTACTCAGGTAATGTAAGGGGTTATGTAGGGTCATACAGGGAATATAGGGTTTGGGTTAGACTAGTGGATGCATAGCGAATAGGGCTAATGTTTGGGGATAATGGGAAAACTGGGTCTATATACATGGAGTTATAAGGATAATTCCCCGAACATTACCTATCCTGCGGTCCTAGATTGCTTGTACAACTATGGTATAGGCTGCCTGAAATAGGCATCAAAATGATCTCGGCAAAAAATAGGCCACTTCAGTAGGTAGTTATCAGCTGAGTAATCTCCGTCATGATCCTCCCCAAGACCTGTATAAGTGGTGTAGAATGCCAATGGGAGGATGCCCATCTCGCAACTAGCCACCTGTATTTTGCTACTAGTTCAGGACCCAGTAGGGATCCCCTTCGAAGAGTTTACGTGAACGTAGTATTAGATATGGACTAAGTGAGGAAACCATGAAGTGGCTGTCCCCTCATGTCCTGGAGGTTGTACTGTACAAGGTTACAACGAATTCACAGTGTGCAGCTTGAATGGAGGGCTTCTTTGAGGAGGCCTTGCAGCAGCGTAGCTGTTATTTGAATCCAAAAACGCGGAGTAGGGTGATCTTTGATTAGGCTGCCGCAGTTTCAGCAACGGCGGTCTCTGAACAGCTGCGACCCCTTCTCGCATGTACATGTTTAACGGCTACATTTGGGCGATTTAGCTCGCGACGTAGACCCAGTTCCCATGCTGCTGATGGGTCATACACGGACAGTCCATATCCAAGACACCAGAATACAACTCGTCCCCACCGTGACAATCAAAAAAGAATAGCAAGCAACAAGCAATATACTCACGATTGATCCATGTAATGCAGTACAGGGGGGCCTTGAAGCAATGTCGCTGCCCTTGGGAGCGACCTCCTGGCATGTTGAGGGCCGGGTGAGGGCTGATTGGAGCACAGCTTGCGCAGTCAAACAAGACCAGTTGCGCTCAGTCAATGATGATCATCACGGTGAACACCAGTGGCATGGGAGAAGTCTAGAGGCCTTTCTTCAGTCTGAATACTGCAGCATGTTGCTTCAAAAGGATGTCTCAAAGCCTGCTAAACTGGAGAGTTTGCTTGTCAGCTGAAGCAGATACCAGATCCAAGGCTGCCATATGGCGGCCTTCTGAACCTTCAAAACATGATCCCCAACAGGTTCTGCCCAGCAGACATGATCCCTCAAACCCACGAAATGCGAAGGCATCCATCCTGAATCTACCCATAGGGATCCAATGACTGCAGCCGTAGGGAAAATTCACAGACTTGAGGGCCCTATGTGGGCATTATTTCTACTACGTCCTTAAGCCTGGGGCCCACAAGACGTTCGAAGACCTCTACACGCAGGATTTTGGTTGAATCGTATAGTTTATGCTGCGGGACAGCACTGCATATAGTCCGCTTCCCCTCATTGCGAGCTAGTTGAGTCTCAAGCGCCCCAAAGACAAATGCTAGGAGAACTGCCGATCGCAGCCCCTCACGCAAAATAATCGCTTCGAACGCGCCTCCATGGGGACACATCGCCAAACCACTTGTTCTTAGCTGCACGGAGTTTGGGATGAGTTGAAGACTTGAGCTTCAAATTTATTGGGACGTGTCGTGTGCCGTCATTCGGAGCACAGCTGCCTTGTCGCGACAAGGCTAGCTCTCGAAACGTGATGGTGGCGCATACACAGCTCATGGGCTTTCCGACCTGCTGGGCTTTTGAGAAACAGCCAGCCTCTCAAGATCTTGTGGAGTAGCGGAGGCTGTGGAGTTGTGATCTTCAGCGGCGAGGCTAGCGGAGCAAATTTGCGTACCGGTTAGTTTCAAAACATGTTGTAACTACGGGGGTCTATGGACTGGGTGTCCGTCTCTCTGAACAAGAAGTTTCTTGCAAGCAGCTAAGTGGGTCAAATAGTCGTAGTGGCGACGCGATTATAATACACTCGCCAAAAACCTTTACCACAACTACCCTGCTACACTTAATCCCAAATACCAAGTATTGGGCGCTTTGACCCCATAATCAGGGGCTTGAGGCTGCAGCTTGAGTTTTGCAGCCACAGTTTATGCGGTCGAGTGCTCAAGCTATCAGTCAAAGCATTGCTGATTTGGTGCCTCTTGATCTAAGCTCACAAGAACTTGTGTGGGCACCTCTTAGGCAACGCAACGCAACTTCCACCGATCCTACAAGGCAACTGCTTCGTTCTCGGGATTTGCTTAGTTGCAGCAGTCTAGAGTCAATTGACTGGGCCCTTTCCTTTTGACAACGGCAAGAAGACATAAATTCACACACACAGCAAAAACAAAGTCGGCCATGCTGACAACATTTTAAGCATAACGCCTTCTGAACCTGCGTCCGAAGCCTCGCAAGACGATTTTTCTCGTTGTTTTGTCAGACCACTGGATCCGAGCCACGCGGCAAATGAGCCCCCGAGGATGCTACAGAATCTTAATCTAGCCATGTAGTTGGAGGCTGAAGGAACCAAGTTGTGACCGAACTGACCTCAAACTCCCCCAGATCCTTGTCAGTCATGATACTGGCGGCATCGATACCCTGCCGCTTCATTAGCCTCTCGGGGATTGGCTCCTGGTGCGTTCCGATGAACTTATTAGCATCTGGATTTGTTTTGGAATTGTGGGTCTTCACCTCAATGCAGTCAATTTAGGGCATGTGGTAAGAATAGCAGTATA